TATAATTCTGTAGTCTGAACATGGTTTAATGCTTCCAGTCTTCTTGACATGTTGTCTTCGCGAACAAAATTAAAAAAAAATTCGAAATCCTTACACACGTCCGTTGAAAGTAACTCAAGGACTGAGTCAAGTTGGCTCACTCTCTTTTTCCCATAAAAACTTTATACCACAGACAGACATACAAATTAGTACCGTTGTACCATAGAGGTAACTCTAAGACTAGAAGGTCCCGAAATAACGTGCTCAACTTTTTGGCTCAGCTCTGGTACTCTCTTCGGTTCCAAGCTAATCGATTCACCCCTCGAAACATAGGAAAAACCAATAACCCCTCATTTTATCTGTCAAACTTTCATAGCGAATCAAAACAAACATTGCGTAGTACTAGAATTTCGACTAGAATAGGGTACGTTAATCGTTTGCTTGGGACCAATAGGCTACTAAAGTGGTGAGCCAATTTAAAATCGTTAGTTTCGTATTGATTGTTGGTTGTACTTCTTTAATCTAGTACCTCTAAACGTACAATTTGTGCTACTAGCTTAAAGCAGTACAACGGTAGTACAACAGTGAACTTTGTATGTCTGTACAAGGTATTACTTAGTTACGTAAAAAGTGGAGTTACGAAACTGAGTAAAATTGGTATGGCGAAAAAATAGAAAATAAAACTTGACTTAGTCTCTGAATTACTTTCGACGGGCGTGCAAAAACATTACTGCCATGCATATAAATGTAGAATAATTTTGACTTATTGTAATAAAGAGGCTGTGTAGGTATCTAATGCTTTGTTCAGACTACAGAGTTATAACCATGGTGGGTATATACATGGTGATACAGCTTTGTCACCATATGGGCGCGAAGATCACGTGGGGGGGAGTTGCGATTTTGGAGCAAATTGTAAACAAACTCGGTCGCTGTCCCATACAAAAATCCATGAATTTGACACATTAGGTCGTATGAATAAAAGCGTTTACTTTACTTTGCCCGTAAGAAAAGCACGGGAAAGTAAAGTAATCTCTTTTTATTCATACGGCCCATTAGAACACCTATATCACAGACAAACAGACATAACACATTGAATATTGCTCACTGTATAACATCGTCGCTAAAATATTACCGCCATCTGTTTTGGGTAGTACGCTGAACAGATGGCAGTAGTGTATAAACGTCAAACGCAACGGAATTGACTATGCGCGCCACAGGTGGCGGTACTACCAACTACGATACTTTTAAATTGACCGTTAAATGCTTGTTCGATGAACAACTTGCGAGTGTCTGTCTGTTTGTTTGTGCCTATGTGTAGTCACTTTGGTTATAACCTAAGAGAAGAGGAGACAATACGGGGGTGAAAACGAACCACTTTTCTGGCCGTATGAAGTGCGTAAAGGCCTGTATAGAGATCGAAGCGAAGCGAAAACCACTTCACTTCGCTTTGAACTGTAAACAGATACTATCCAGCGAAATCTAATTTTGTAGATTGTATCTTTCGAAATTTCATGATTTTTCGCGTGCTTCAATTTTCGTTTCGCTTCGATCTGTATACTAGGCTTAAGATAGAGATAGAGATAGATTTAGAGATTAAGATAGAAGAGTAAGAAGCCAGTTGTCTCCTCTTTCTCTAGGTTATAACATTTTTATAATGTAACAACATAATAACAATATTATAATAATAATTATCGACAAGAAAAATGTCATCAGGATAGGGTTATAACATACTATAACCATAGAGGTAACTCTAAGACTAGAAGGTCCCGAAATAACGTGCTCAACTTTTTGGCTCAGCTCTGGTACTCTCTTCGGTCCCAAGCTAATCGATTCACCCCTCGAAACATAGGAAAAACCAATAACCCCTCATTTTATCTGTCAAACTTTCATAGCGAATCAAAACAAACATTGCGTAGTACTAGAGCCAATTTAAAATCGTTAGTTTCGTATTGATTGTTGCTATAACTCTCTAGTATGGCCAGCGTTTAATACCAAGTTCAGACTACAGAGTTATAACATGTTAAATTATTAACAAGAATAATTCCATCAAGATAGCCTAAACAAGGCAGAAGAATTGAGTTTTGAGTTTAACCATTATTTTGAAAATTCGCGCAGAAAGTTTGCCCGGATTCGGTGTCGGTTCAAACCAACGTTCGTGATAGTCCGTCGGGTAGTAACGAAATAGATTCTCCGTTTTCGATGGTGGAATTCTCACTTGCTCTCCTCTCATGTAACAACTCAGCTCCAGGAATGGATAGAATCAAGTTCAACTTGCTCAAAAATCTCCCAGACGTCGCGAAGAGACGCTTGTTGAACTTATTCAATCAATTTCTGGAGCACAACATTGTTCCGGATGATTGGAGGCAAGTAAGAGTTATCGCCATTCGAAAACCCGGTAAACCCGCGTCGGATTATAACTCGTACCGTCCCATCGCGATGCTGTCCTGTATACGGAAATTGTTGGAGAAAATGATTCTTTTTCGTCTAGACAAATGGGTCGAGTCGAATGGTTTACTTTCAGATACGCAATTTGGATTTCGGAGAGGCAAAGGAACGAGCGACTGTCTTGCGTTGCTTTCAACTGAAATTCAACTGGCCTATGCGCAAAAACAGCAAATGGGTTCAGTTTTCTTGGATATTAAGGGGGCTTTTGATTCTGTTTGTATCGATGTCCTTTCGGATAAACTCCACGATAGTGGGCTTTCACCAATTATGAACAACTATTTGAGCAACTTGTTGTCTGAGAAATATATGAGCTTTTCTCATGGAAACTCGACAACTTCACGAATTAGTTACATGGGTCTCCCCCAGGGCTCATGTTTAAGCCCCCTTCTTTATAATTTTTATGTAAAAGACATTGATGGTTGTCTTGATGAAAATTGCTCGCTAAGGCAGCTTGCAGATGACGGGGTTGTGTCCGTTATAGGGCCAAGTGCACCGGACCTGCAAGGACCATTGCAAGATACCTTAGACAATTTGTCTACTTGGGCTATGAAGCTGGGTATCGAATTCTCTCCGGAGAAAACTGAGTTGGTTGTTTTTTCTAGGAAGCATCATCCTGCACAGTTACAGCTTCAACTAAAGGGTAGAACAATCACTCAAAGTATATCTTTCAAGTATTTAGGTGTCTGGTTCGATTCCAAATGCACATGGGGAAAACATATTGCGTATCTAAAACAAAAATGCCAACAAAGAATCAATTTTCTTCGTACAATTACCGGAACTTGGTGGGGAGCACACCCGGAAGATCTTATCAGGTTGTATCGAACAACCATCTTGTCGGTTCTAGAGTACGGTAGCTTCTGCTTTCAATCCGCGGCGAAAACACATATCTTGAAGCTGCAACGAGTTCAATACCGTTGCCTCCGAATCGCGCTTGGCTGTATGCACTCGACGCATACGATGAGCCTCGAAGTACTCGCGGGTGTTCTCCCACTGACAGATCGTTTCGCTGAGCTGTCTTTCCGGTTCCTCATCCGTTGTGAAGTATTGAATCCTTTGGTAATAGAACACTTTGAGAAGCTGCTCGACCAAAATCCTCAAACAAGATTCATGAGTTTGTACTATGAGTACATGACGCTGGAGGTTGGTCCTTCTTCATTAATCTCCAATCGTGATTGCTTCCAAGCCTTCTATAGTTCCTCTGTAAATTTTGATCTGACCATGATGCAAGAAATCCATGGAATACCAGATCACCATCGGTCGATGGTTGTTCCCTCAATTTTTGCAATCAAGTACCACCATGTAAGTAACGATAAAAGATTTTTCACAGATGGGTCAACCATAAATGCTTCCACTGGATTTGGTGTATTTAATCAATTTCATAGCGCCTCCTATAAACTGCAGAAACCATGCTCCGTATACGTTGCAGAACTCGCAGCTATATTTTACGCAGTAGAGCGAATTGCCTCACTACCTTCTGACCATTATTTCATTTTTACGGATAGTCTTAGCTCATTGGAGGCTATTCGTTCAATGAGGCCGATGAAGCACTCCTCGTATTTCCTGCCTGAAATACGATCTAAACTGAGTGCTTTATCTAACTGCTCCTATACTATCACCTTAGCTTGGGTCCCATCTCATTGCTCAATTCCGGGTAATGAGAAAGCGGACTCATTGGCTAAGGTGGGCGCTATGGAAGGCGATATTTTTGAGCGACAAATCGCCTTCAACGAATTTTTTTCCATTGCTCGCCAGCAAGTCCTCATCAGTTGGCAACAAAAATGGAATGATGGTGAATTGGGAAGATGGTTACATTCTATTCTCCCACAGGTGTCGAACAAACCATGGTTCAAAGGGTTGGACATGAGCCGCGACTTTATACGCGTTATTTCAAGGCTTATGTCCAATCACTGCTCGTTAGACTCGCACTTCTATCGAATTGGGCTCTCAGGCAGCAATTTATGTGCGTGTGGCAGTGGTTATCACGATATCGAGCATGTTGTTTGGTCGTGTACCTTACACCGTGTTGCCAGATCTGAGTTATCCACATCCCTCAGGGCCCGAGGAAAACAACCCGCGATACCCGTTAGAGATGTCTTGGCGAGCCGAGACCTTGACTATTTGAATTTAATTTATGTGTTTTTAAAACGGATAGATTTGAGGATTTAGAAGTTAGTGTCATCTTGTGTTCTCCCAAGTTGTTAGCTACCCATCGGTGTACCCCCATGTTTGTCTTTTTCATCAGAGTGTCGCCTAGTTCGAGATCAAGAGCACATTGCTCTCCAAACCTTGTGTTCACAATCCCTACCCTGCCATCCATTTGTTACAATTTGTTACCCCTAACCTCGAGATAGCCGCGAGTAATCGGCCCCCGCTTTACTAACGTTAGTTTTAAGTAATTTTGTTATCTAAACAATGAATATCGGCTCCGCAAAGCTACAGCAAATGAGCCTGGAAAAATAAACGAATTATTAAAAAAAAAAAAAAAAATTATTTTGAAAGAACTATGTGCTTTGTTTGATTAAATTACAATTTTTTGAACGAATAGTAACTGTTTAACTGTTAAAAAATTGGCCTACCTTTCCCAGCGGAACTTTCAGGGCAATGAACTGAGTGCCCTGGACTTGAGAACCGTACTTGGTGTAGTCGAGCCATCTAGAATATCATGACCATTAGCCGGATTACATATATGTTTTTCAGAAATAGTTTCAAACAAACCTGTCTGGATACTTGTACGTCATCTTACTTTAACATTCAATTTCGATTCGAATACAGCACGTAAAAGTACTTTTTATTATTTTAAATCACAGGCAAATCTGCTCAAAATACACGCACAAAATAAACTTTAATTCCACATGTAAACAAAATCCTTTACGATTTTGTCTCATGAGCTGTCAGTCAAATCGTATAGGTGTGCAAAATTATACCGACAGATAAATAACATTACCGACAAAGCGCACGAAAAACATGCTCAACACGGTAACCATTCTAAACACATTAATGTGTAAAATTTCACACATTTCGTGAAAAAGAGGTCTCATAGTGCACTATACGATTACCTAAAATTATCAGTAAAAAATGATCGGTATTTTATACCGATAAAAATCGTTACTTTTTACTATAAATTGGCTGCTTTTTACTTTAAATTAGGTAATTTTTAACGTTAATTATTGGTAATCCATGATTACCGATAATTTAGGTATGTGCACTTTCTTCGATTATCGGTAATTTTTACCGATATCTAGGTATTCTTTACCGACTTTAAGGTATGTGCATCTTATACCCTGGACAGACTATGGCTTATATCATGCAATATAAGCTGTCTTGCAATGAGCACTCATACATCTAGTTTTCACTGGAAATCCTATGTATGAGTGCTCATTGCAAGACAGCCTATATTACATGATATAAGCCATAGTCTGTCCAGGGTATTAGCGTGCTACTCATAAAATGTGTTAACTGCGTTTACACATTTATGTGTAAACCCATCAAACGTCAAAAGAAGTGTATTTTTTACACATTTTTCAAGAACGGTTTTTACTGCAAAATGTGTAAAAGTACTCATTTAAAGAAATTAAATATGATAAGGACGCATGATTTTTTTTTTATTAATATCGGAGATTTCTTATTTGTCTGATAAAATAAAGACTGATCGGATTCAATAATATTTTATTAAAAAAATCACAGCCAGACACCGGACAATGAAAAGCTTAATAAAGATAGGGCTGCTATGAAAATAATATAAATCAATTACCCTCTAGTTTGTCCACCGTTGCTGTGTTACAGTTTGGACCGCAGTTTCTCCATTTTTCTGTTAATATTGCTGAAAGTTTTTCGCTTAGGCAAATGGCGTTCATCAACGAAGCATATGGTTTTTTCTACCCATTAATGAGTATAAAAATACATATTTTTTGACTGGTACTACATTCTTAAAATGTGTATTTTTTATACATTTTAAGATCTCCAAATTTACACATTTTTTGACAGCTGCATATAAATATAAAAAATGTGTATTTTTTTACTCATTAATGTGTTACGCTGGTTACCGTGTAATCGAAAAAGGTGGTTGATTTTACACGGCAAATTAATCTAACTCATATCTGAGTCGCATTCACTCAAACTCTCAAAAGGGTATCTCAACCTCTCAAAAGGGTATCTCAACCTCGATCCCAACAATCATTCGTAAAACTTCTTCAAAGTTCTTTATTGAAGAATCAAAGTGAAGATTGACTCACAGGTGGCGAGTGCGTGAAAATAATAGTGATGTTTTGATAACTGTCAAATAAAATGACATTTATATATATATATATATATATATATATATATGCACACAAAGAACAAAAATTGTTCAAATAAAAATATTGTATTTTCAAATTTAAAGTTTCTAAAAACTCGCAGTTTCAACTATGAAAATATATAAATCGAAATTTATGTTTTTGATTTGAAAGTGCTTCTTTCAATTTTGACGTGTAATTTTAAAAGTGCATTTTTTAAATGAAAAGTTATTCAACTGTCAAAAATACCGACATTTTTCATAGAGCTTTGTGACGTTTAATCGGCGCACACTACTGCACCGTTTAAATCGTTTAAATCGAACGAGTGCGAGCAAGAGGAAAATAGATTAGTGGGAAAACAAACCGTGCATTCATCCATGTGTGCTAGATAGAGAAAGACGATTAAACGTCAAAAAGGTCTATGGCAGCACTGAACCTTCATTTACCGCCTTTTTTTTACATTTTTAATAGTGCGTTTCAGAATGAGAGATCAGTTTTTTTTCAATTCCGCCGGAAAAGTAGTGGAATCAATCCGGATCAAGTGCGAAAACGTGAGCATCGATTGGTAATGTTATTCTGATTGTGCGACCCTTTTTTATTGAGGACAATGACTAGGATAATGATGAAAAACGGAGAGAAATGGTGACGTTTCATGAAGATTTCGTTCTCTGGCGTGGTTGGAACCTACGTTTCATAAATACTTTTAAATAGCTTCCAGTAAATGATTCTCTTAACCCGGTCGCGGTGTTGACCTATATATATGATTATATTCAGGTGATTGGTTAGGAATTTAAGGGAGTAAATTTTCCCCATATGAATGCAAAGTACATACATATCGTCTTTTTCTCCACTAACAGCTCCTCTTCCACTCAATCAAGAAGCTATCGATTATTGCCATGGGTCTGAGCGAGAAGCAAAGCCGCATTTAACTGATCCTGAGCCTGATCCGAACATACGTGGGGCAAAGACAGTCCAATGAAGTTGTCGGCTATGACAAAAAGGCAAACCCTGAGATGGATTTAAGCAAGATGCAAGTGGGACTGTAAGTTAATGTTAATTTAATTAATGAAAATTAGGTGACTTGTAAACTTTTCGTTTCCGGTTTTATGTAGGCAAAATCCACAGCGGAGATTGAAGATTATAGCGCTATAACATGTTATAACCATAGAGGTAACTCTAAGACCACTGGGTCCCGAAGAAAATCATTATTATTTTTGGCTCACTCAGTACCAGAACAACGGTCCCAAGCAGTCCCAAGCTATTTCACTCACCCCTACATGTTCTGCATGAATCCACACACCCCTGATGTTATCTGTCAAACTTTCATAGCGAATCAAAACAAACATAGTGTAGTAATAGAATTGCAACTAGAATAGGAAACGTTAATCGTTTGCTTGGGACCAATAGGCTACTAAAGTGGTGAGCCAATTTAAAATCGTTAGTTTCGGGCAATTTTTTTCCGAATGTAAACAAGAAGGAAAAAATGCAGGGCACGCTACGTTCTCATTACGCTCTATATTACGTGATATAGAGGGATTCGTGATATAGCAGCTATATCACGTTCTATATTAAGTGATATCCCATATAAACGATCTGTCAACCTATATCACGAAAAGAGGTTGATATAGCTCATATCACGTTCTGTACTTGATACAAATCAGAAAAACAGGGGCTGGCAACCTGGCCACAATAGAGCTGGTCGGTATTTTTCGGCGTCAAATGTCACTATCCTTGAAGTCAAAACAAAAAAAATCATAATATGTTAATAATTATTTTTCACCGCGGCGGACGGGTCTTGCCAAAGAGGAACGAAGAGGAAAAACGAGATCCGAACGCGAAGCCTTTCTTGATTGATAGATTGATTGAGTAACTACTAAATACAACGGCAAGGAAAGAAAACTCCAGTAATAGGTAGTGAGGAAGTTTACCAGAAGACGTAGGAAGTGAAATCCACCTCCGAAAACAGCCAATTGGAACCACTCGAGGTGAAAATGCTCAAACTATTCTCACTGAAGGTACATAAGAAGGACAGTGAGACAATTCCGAAGTCTTCACCTTGGCCCTGCTGAGAATAACAAAAGGTAAACAAACAATTCGGAAAAATGTTTATCGATTTAGATTACCTACTGATTTCCATGCCGCATGGCAGTTCGCAGAGCGCGTTACCTTATAATTGGTGAGCAAACACGATGGCACCGGCATTACCCAATGGACAATGGCAATGATGGTCGCGGAAGATTCGTTGGAGGTTCATTAAACTTCAACAACCAACTCTTCCTCGAGATCGATAACCGGTTTAAAGGTGTGTGTGCCTTATTATCGGTATGACAAATGAAATGATCAAACAACTGCAGGAGAAATCCAGTGCCAAGATGAAGTATGCTGCGTACAACATCCTTGAGTTTAGAATGTCGTTTTTTGTCCTTGTTGATATTTTGTTGTATTTTAATTTTTGTATCGTAGGAGTTATTTACTTTAAACTTTGTATAAAATCATGCCGTTGTTAAACCCACACTCGGATACGGTGAAATATCTGGATTTTTCGAAGTTTCATGATGGGCTACTGATCACGGGACCGCAGGATTGTCGTGAAGGTGTGGCATACCGGAGTGGAAAACTCGATGTCAAATCCGGAGTGTACGTTCTCCAAGACGTTCTCACAAAGCAGCGGATGGTAAAGTCAGTGGGATTCTTGTCATGGAGTGCATTATTCTGTGGGATTTTACTTTTCACCAGGAATCGTTGTAAGGGAGCTTAAATTGGTCTTGCCTATCTTATAGCGAATTCGGTTTTGTATCGGGGTTGGAACCAGTTCAAACTCTGTGCCAAACCGAAGTTTTTGTCAGTGCGAACCTCATACTGAGGTAGATTTTATAACCAACGATCAAACTGACATTTTTCAGACAACAAGCAACCCAAGATACCCAATCCAGTTTGAAACTGAATAATAAACGAATTTATTAGACTTTTCAATCGATTCCGCGACCAGCAGAATCTACGTAATACCAACAATCAATACGAAACTAACGATTTTAAATTGGCTCACTACTTGACTTGCCTATTGGTCCCAAGCAAATCAACTAACGTACCCCATTCTAGTATAAATTCCAGTACTACACTCTGTTTGTTTTGATTCGCCATGAAAGTTTGACAGATAAAATGAGGGGTTAGTGGATTTTCCTATATTTCGAGGGGTGAATCGATTAGCTTGGGACCGAAGATAGTACCAGAGCTGAGCCAAAAAGTTGGGCTCGTTTCTTCGGGACCTTCTTGTCTTAGAGTTACCTCTATGGTAATACTACGTTTTTCCTGCAAGCGGGATGCTATTTCCTACGTGCTTTCTTTGTACTTGTAGTTCTCAAGTGAGGCAACGAGTCGTGCAACATGCATCTAATGAAGTATATGACTGGTGGGGGAGAAAAGCAGAAGGAGTGGTCATAGTTGCCGTAGTAGCCGATTGAGACGGTAGACGAAGAAGGTCTTGTCTATGAGTAATGGGGACAATTAATTGATTCGGAGAATTTATCGGAGCTGACCTTGGGTTTACTCGCTTGGATAGGAAGTACTTATATTACACCATTATTCATATGAAGATTAAAACATCAGAAATATCACGTTTACCCTTGTAATCGTGAAATTTCTTATCTGTGAATTTTCGGTTGAATAATGGTGTAGAGCCAGAAGTGGCACCAAGCGATTTGAATATCGCTGGACAATCTGTAGGAGGTCAATGAAGATGTTGATGCTTATCCTTTTCATTCTTTCTTTGTTAAAAATTCTTTCAGTCTTCGGCTGGTTCATATCTGGTGAAGCTTATCGCATTACAGCTGTCATTCAACATCCTGGTAAACCACGATGGCATCCGCTGGTAGTCTCAGTATGACCAAGTCCTTATTCCGTCAGCATCTGATGCACATATTTTTTATCTTGTATTGTTATGATGCTGCTAATAAATTATCTTGTAGCTATCTATAATAGACACGAATACCGTAGTGAAGTTTCAGTATTTACTAAAAATCTCAAATCACAAAACTCTTTGTATGCTTTGCTTCATCGTTAACGCCATGCCGGCAAATTTCCACGGAAATTTAGGAACATCAAATAAATTGTATTCGCGAATTAGAAATTAAATTTTATTAAAACAGCAAAAAAAAAGGTTATCTTCCATTTAATTCAAAATTAAGGGGATGAGTACTTAAGGGGGTTAGATTTTGATAAGTTCTTTAGTGGGAATGACACTGATGAAGACTGCACATTGTAGTCGAAATACGTATCTGTCATGGATACCAAAATTAATTAAGTGGAATTAAATGGAAGATAACCTTTTTTTTTGCTGTTTTATTAAAGCATTCCGCTAACAACCCATTTTCATTACTTCATTATGATGGCCTTTGGGATTTTCCTTATTAGAGAGTTGAATAGATTTTTCTCCTTTAGCTTACTTAAATCTTTGGTTTTAATTAGTTAGGTAGGTTCCGATTCAACACATTGTAGTTTCATTTATATACCTGTGATCTTGACTTTTATACCTAGGGGATGAGTACTTAAGGGGGTTAGATTTTGATAAGTTCTTTAGTGTGAATGACACTGATGAACACTGCACATTGTAGTCGAAATACGTATCTGTCATGGATACCAAAATTAATTAAGGGGAATTAAATGGAAGATAACCTTTTTTTTGCTGTTTTATTAAAGCATTCCGCTAACAACCCAATTTCATTACTTCATTATGATGGCTACCAAGCCTTTGGGATTTTCCTTATTAGAGAGTTGAATAGATTTTTCTCCTTTAGCTTACTTAAATCTTTGGTTTTAATTAGTTAGGTAGGTTCCGATTCAACACATTGTAGTTTCATTTATATACCTGTGATCTTGACTTTTATACCTAGGGGATGAGTACTTAAGGGGGTTAGATTTTGATAAGTTCTTTAGTGGGAATGACACTGATGAAGACTGCACATTGTAGTCGAAATACGTATCTGTCATGGATACCAAAATTAATTAAGTGGAATTAAATGGAAGATAACCTTTTTTTGCTGTTTTATTAAAGCATTCCGCTAACAACCCAATTTCATTACTTCATTATGATGGCTACCAAGCCTTTGGGATTTTCCTTATTAGAGAGTTGAATAGATTTTTCTCCTTTAGCTTACTTAAATCTTTGGTTTTAATTAGTTAGGTAGGTTCCGATTCAACACATTGTAGTTTCATTTATATACCTGTGATCTTGACTTTTATACCTAGGGGATGAGTACTTAAGGGGGTTAGATTTTGATAAGTTCTTTAGTGGGAATGACACTGATGAAGACTGCACATTGTAGTCGAAATACGTATCTGTCATGGATACCAAAATTAATTAAGTGGAATTAAATGGAAGATAACCTTTTTTTTGCTGTTTTATTAAAGCATTCCGCTAACAACCCAATTTCATTACTTCATTATGATGGCTACCAAGCCTTTGGGATTTTCCTTATTAGAGAGTTGAATAGATTTTTCTCCTTTAGCTTACTTAAATCTTTGGTTTTAATTAGTTAGGTAGGTTCCGATTCAACACATTGTAGTTTCATTTATATACCTGTGATCTTGACTTTTATACCTACACAGCAAAAAAAGTTGTTGAATATTACATCGAAACTGCTGCAACCAGGTCAATCCATCGGTTGTGTAATATCACATTGTACGATGTACATCGATTTTGCGAACAAAATTACATCCATTGATGTTATATTGTATCTGCTTTTTGCTATTACATCATTATTTCATACATCAGCTTGAATTACGTTGATCGATATTAAACTTTTTTTTGCTGTGTAGGGGATGAGTACTTAAGGGGGTTAGATTTTGATAAGTTCTTTAGTGGGAATGACACTGATGAAGACTGCACATTGTAGTCGAAATACGTATCTGTCATGGATACCAAAATTAATTAAGTGGAATTAAATGGAAGATAACCTTTTTTTTGCTGTTTTATTAAAGCATTCCGCTAACAACCCAATTTCATTACTTCATAAATTTTATTGATTTTTCAGCTTCATAATTGTTTTTTTTTTTTCTCGCTGTCATAAATGACAATCTATATCAAGTCACCGCAAATGTGAACACCTCAACGTGATATCGATATCATCTCGCTATATCACGTGATAGAGTGTAATGAGAACGAGGTATTACCCAAATTCTATATTGTTGAAATAAACATGCTTCTGACTTTGATTCAAACATATATATTTTTGTTGCAAACATGGTTTTAATTTATTTTGAATTATTCATATGTTTATAGAATGAACATTTTTATTTTTGATTTAAATTAACAAAATTCGGTTCCGTGATCAATACATTTAAAAAAGGAATACTTTTTACCCAGTTACGGAAAACAATGCATTCTGGAAATGGGCTAAAAGTACCCCATGATTTGGCGTATAAGCTCTTTACCCATTAGTGGGTAAAGACGTTTTACTCATTTTATGAGTATACCTACTTTACCGTGAAATAGGCACTTTTTCACCCATTAATGGGTACTTTACAGTTACAGTGTCGGAAATGTGATTTATTTTTTGAGTGCACAGATATTAAATACAGACGTCATATTTTTTGAGACTTTTGAAAAAAAAATCATCTGGCATCCCTGGTTGCATTGTTTTGGTAATCGACCGCACTGAATGTCGCGTTCGCGTGTGATTTTATCCCGTTTTATTTCATATTTTTCATAGAAAAGTTGGTGTTGGTGTTTTATTCAACTTAATTTCATTAACCGCGGCGCGAAATGGCACAGAACGCCGATCTAATTAAACAGGCCATGTTTGAGGAACTGCAGAAGATCCTCAACCCGAATGGTGAAATACGGCGACAGGCGGAAGAGCGTTTAGCTCAGCTAAAGTATACCGAAGGTAGAAAGTAGCAATTAAGCCGGTCATGAGGCGATCGTTAATATTATTTTTGATCTTATCGTAGGTTATGGCATTTATCTAGCGGAAATAACCATCAACCAGAATCTGGACCTAGCACTGCGTCAGCTTGCATCCGTTATGCTGAAACAATACGTCGAGGACTGTTGGGCAGCCGAAGACCAGGAAGGCGAGGCAGCGAATGGATTGTGTGCGAACAATGAGGCGAAGATTGCCATCAAAACCATTCTACCACAAGGGTTATACGATCCGAATAGCAAGGTAGGTTATTTGTGTGAAGCGATTCTCGAGTAGTAGATTAACTGCGTAATTTCAATCCTAAAGATACGGAGCGTAGTGGCATATTCCATTTCCAATATTGCTTCATACGATTGGCCAACTGATTGGCAAGAGCTTTTTGATATCATAGTAAAATGTCTCAGTGGAAACGAAAACTCCGTCCACGGTGCTATGAAGGTGTTGGTCGAATTCACTCTGGATTTGGACAAGCAGATCGTAGATGTTGGACCTATGATCCTTTCCGAAGTTTACCGTATATTTGAAGCGCAAAATGTGTACAGCGTATCCACAAGGAGCTATGCGGTCGAGATTCTGAACTCTCTGCTGCGGAGTATCAACACGCACATCGAGTCCAAGCAGGAGCAAGCCAACATTCTGAATCCAACCCTTCCAACGTTCATGCAAAAGATGATTGAATGTCTCACTGTACCGAATGGACCGCACAGTAGTTTTCAACTGAAAACACAGATTGTTAAGGGTAAGTGATTTGGTAATTTTAAGCCCTTCATTTTGACATGTTGGAAATTTTAGTTCTCAAGTACATGATTTCGGACATGCCCAAGTTTGCCAATCAGTATCTCGCTGCAATTCTGCCTCCGATTTGGCAACTTCTGACCCAGATGGCAGATATCTACATCAAGGTGATCGTAAATGAAATAGAGGAGAATCCTTTTGTTAGTAATTCCGAAGGTTTGTGTAACTGTCTCTCGTGCGGCTAGCTGCCTATTGGAAATGCTTCTCAACTAAAACGGTTTTGTATTTTAAGGTGATGAAAGTGAAGACTTTACAGCTATGATTCTGCAAACCTTCGAATTTTTGCACACAATCATAGAAATGAAGAAGTACAAAGGAGCCGTTACGAATGTGCTGACAGATCTTATCTACATTGTTATTTTATACATGCAAATGACTGAAGAGCAGGTGCAAAGCTGGCATGAAGATCCGGAGAAGTTTGTCGAAGACGAAGATGAGCAAGGAATCGATTTTACTATTCGAACCACCGTCACCGATGTGCTGCTAATCATTGGCCAAGAGTATGAACAGAAACTGTTGTCTTGTTTCTCGGAAGCTTTAAGCAAGCACATTGCAGTGGCAGATGCTGACCGGAATGCAGGAAATCCCAACTGGTGGAAAGTTTACGAGGCCTCGATGCTGGCCGTGGGTTCTTTTAAAGATTTGATCGTCGAGCACGAGGGCAAGTTCGACTTGACTCAGTATATGAACTTGGTAAAGAACATCATGGAATACCAGGTAAGTAAACCGGAAAAATATACGCCCGCTATTAAGTTTATCAGGACATTTCCTTTTTCCAATAGCTAACGAAAGGAACAAAAGTAAGATTTTTTGTTGTTACTGCAATTAATTTCTAATATTGCGTCAATATGCAAAAAGCCTGTGTGTGTGTGTGTGTGTGTGTGTGTGTGTGTGTGTGTGTGTGTGTGTGTGTGTGTGTGTGTGTGTGTGTGTGTGTGTGTGTGTGTGTGTGTGTGTGTGTGTGTGTGTGTGTGTGTGTGTGTGTGTGTGTGTGTGTGTGTGTGTGTGTGTGTGTGTGTGTGTGTGTGTGTGTGTGTGTGTGTGTGTGTGTGTGTGTGTGTGTGTGTGTGTGTGTGTGTGTGTGTGTGTGTGTGTGTGTGTGTGTGTGTGTGTGTGTGTGTGTGTGTGTGTGTGTGTGTGTGTGTGTGTGTGTGTGTGTGTGTGTGTGTGTGTGTGTGTGTGTGTGTGTGTGTGTGTGTGTGTGTGTGTGTGTGTGTGTGTGTGTGTGTGTGTGTGTGTGTGTGTGTGTGTGTGTGTGTGTGTGTGTGTGTGTGTGTGTATGTGTGTGTGTATGTGTGTGTGTATGTGTGTGTGTGTATGTGTGCGTGTGTGTGTGTGTGCGTGTGTGTGTGTGTGTGTGTGTGTGTGTGTGTGTGTTTGTGTGTATGTGTGTGTGTGTGTGTGTGTGTGTGTGTGTGTGTGTGTGTGTGTGTGTGTGTGTGTGTGTGTGTGTGTGTGTGTGTGTGTGTGTGTGTGTGTTTTTTTTTTTTTTTTTGGCAAGGAGGAAACCTTCAAAAAGGCCATCGTGCCACCGCTTGACGACTGTGCGCACAGTCGCGGTGACACGGTGTGTGGGATTCTTACCGCACTAAAACCTCCTTAGACGCCTTGCCCTTTTCCCCCGGAACCACTTGTCGTATTACTTCGGAGGGGGCCGTGCATTACGCACCTCACTTTACCTCAGCTAATTGGCGCTTCCAGTTCGCTGATCGTCTCTCCAATTTGTGAGCCATTTATCTCCCAGCGTCACGTTCTACTCGGTTATCCCTGGTGGTGGATACAGCCTACTCTGACGGAGAGTTCTCCCGGCTTCGGCTTTCAGTTCGCACTTGTGTGAGCACATTACTACTTTCTAGTTGGTCTTCCCGCCATTTTCGCTGCAGCGCTGACATGATCTGCGTTACTGCTCTGCTGACGGCGTTAAAGGTGCCCTCCTCTCGACACATTTCTTCGACGACATTCTCCGTGCTAAGGGCGAGCATATCCTCTCGCACATCATCAAATCTAGGACATTCGAAAACCACGTGCTCTGGTGATTCTTCCACATTCCCACACTCCGGACAGAAGGGTGACGTTGTGTGTCCGAACCGATGCAGGTACTTCCTGAAGCAGCCATGACCAGACAGGAACTGCGTCAAGTGGAAGTTGGCTTCTCCATGCTTCCTGTTCACCCAGGTCGAAAGAGTCGGTATTAGCCTGTGTGTCCATCTACCGTTCTCTGCTGCATCCCACTCCTGCTGCCACTTAGCCATCGACTCCGTTCTCACCATTTTTCGTACTCCTCTGGTTTCTCTCGTCATATAGCACTCGTAGTCCTCCGCCAAGGTGATGCCGATTGGGATCATACCGGCGATAACGCATACTGCCTCCATCGAAATGGTTCTGTACGCACTCACGACTCGCATGGCCATGAGCCGGAACGTACTGCTCAATTTCCTTTGGTTCTGCTTCGTTTTCAGCGCTTCAATCCAGGCTGGACCTCCGTACCTTAGTATTGATGAGGAAACACTAGCCAGAAGACGTCTCTTGCTGCTGCTTGGACCAGAATTGTTCGGCATGATTCTGGCTATTGCGTTGATGACCTTCGTCGCCTTCTCGCAAGCATATTCGATGTGGCTATTAAAGTTTAGCCGGTCGTCGATCATCACTCCCAGATACTTAAGCATGCGCTTCGAAGCAATGGTGTGCTCTCCAACGGTAATTTCTGCCCGCTGCACTGCTTTGCAGTTACTGACCAACATCACTTCTGTTTTGTGGTGGGCTATCTGCAGCTTCGCTCCTTGCATCCAGTTACCAATCGTATCTATCGCCTCAGCCGCCAACATTTCCACTTCTTCCAGCGTCTCACCGGTTACCGTCAAGACGACATCGTCCGCAAAGCCAACGATCTCAACTCCTTTGGGCAGCTTGAGCGTCAGCACGCCATTGTACATTCCGTTCCACAGCGTGGGACCTAGAATGGAGCCTTGGGGAACCCCCGCCGTGATTCTAAGCGATTTCTGCCCCGTGTCTGTCACGTAGACAAGGACCCGGTTCTGGAAATAACTACTTAGAATCCTGCAGAGGTAGCCTGGAACCCTCATTCTATGGAGCGCCTTGGCGATGGCCTCCCAGCTGGCGCTATTGAATGCATTCTTGACATCGATCGTAATCACGGCGCAGTATCGATTTCCTCTCCGCTTCTGTTTGGAAGCTTTCTCGGCTCTGTCAATCACTGTCCGAATTGCATCCACCGTCGATCTCCCTTTCCGGAATCCAAACTGTCTCTCCGACAATCCGTGTTCACTCTCCGTGCATTTCGTCAGTCTGTTGAGGATGATCCTCTCTAAGAGCTTTCCTACAGTATCCAGCAAGCATATTGGCCTATACGATGCAGGATCCCCCGGCGGTTTTCCGGGCTTCGGCAACAGCACAAGTTTTTGTACCTTCCACCTATCAGGGAACTGACCATCGTCCAGACATTTCTGCAGCACCATCCTGAACATGTCCGGGAACGTCTGGATCGCCGCCTTCAACGCCACGTTGGGAATTCCATCCGGGCCGGGAGCTTTATTCGCTTTCAACCCTTTCGCTGCTGCTATGAGTTCCTCGTTGGAGACTTGTTCAACGTTGTCTTCATCTACCTCGCCATATGGTGTAGGTGGCCAGTTCGTTGGGTCATGCTGTGGGAAAAGTCCCTCCACGATGACTTTCAGCTTGTTGTGACACATTTCAACCGGCATCGTTGGGCCTCTGATCTTCGCCATCGCAACTCGGTATGCGTTGCCCCAGGGGTTGGCATCGGCATCGCGGCACAACTCCTTGAAACTATTTGACTTGCTCAGCTTTATCTTTCGTTTCAGTGCAGCCCTGGCCTCTCGGAACACCACCCTGCGCTCCTCTCTGTCTGCTTCTGTTCTTGCTCTCTGAGCACGCCTTCTGGCTAGAAGACAAGTAGCACGGAGGGTGCTAATTTCCTCGTTCCACCAGTAGGCTGGACGCCGCCTGTTCGTTGGCTCCAGTTTTCTCGGCATAGTTGTGTCACATGCCCTTGCTAATAATTCGGTCAACTCATTCGCGCTTAGGCCCGGGACGCTGTTGTCTACCCTTAGAGCTTCGATGAAGAGATCCTTATTGAATGCCTTCGTCTTCCACTTCCGCTCGCTTACTTTCGTCCTCCGCATTTCCACCGGTGTTCGTTCGCCGATACTGTACCGGATCGCCTGATGGTCACTATGGGTGTACTCCTCGCACACCGTCCAGTTCATATTTGCCATTAGCGACGTACTGCAGAAAGTAACGTCGATAATGGATTCCCTACCATCTTTGCGGAAGGTGCTGATGGTTCCTTCGTTGGCCAGACTGACGTTCAACTTTGCCAGAGCTTCCAGCAGGCTATACCCTCTTGCGTTGGTACATCTGCTCCCCCAATCCACTGCCCAAGCATTGAAGTCTCCTGCGATGACGACTGGTCTCCGTCCAATGAGCTCTTCGGTGAGCCCATCTAGCATCTGGTGGAACTGCTCAATTGTCCATCTCGGGGGTGCGTAGCAACTACATACAAAGATTCCATTGATTTTGGCGATCACGAAACCTTCATATGAGCTTGCCACCACTTGTTGTATGGGATACCTGCCCATGACTTGTATGGCCGCCATTCCTGCTCTATCCGCCACCCAGTTACCATTATCGAGAGGGACTCGGTATGGCTCTGCAATGATTGCAACGTCGCACTTTGTTTCCGTTGTTGACTGCCACAACAGTTGCTGTGCTGTGTTACAATGATTGAGATTTATTTGGGTTACCTTCATTATTGCTGGCCCACCATCGCCTTCTTGAACTCAGGGCACCTGAAACTTCCCGTCACATGGCCATTTCCGTCCTCCTTTTTGCAGAGCATGCACCTCGGTTGCTTTGTACAGTCTTTTGCAACGTGCCCCTTCTCTCCGCATTTCCTGCACAGATCAGATCTGTCAGGGCCTTTGCAGTGTCTCGCCTGGTGACCGAAGCCCATGCATTTGTAGCATCTCTCCATTTTCTTAGATACCCGAGGAATAGCTTTCAACGGGCACACTGACCACCCAACCTTGATTCGGCCAGTCTTCAGCAGCTCGTTAGCTGCGTCCGAAGAAAGTCGTATCGACGCCGTCTGCGTGCCACCATACGCCTTTCTCAACCGAATTGCCATCGGTACGTCTCCCAGGTTGCATTGCACGTTTAGCGCACTTTTCAACTCGTCTTCTGTTGTGATCTCGTCCAGATCCCTGCACTCGACCACTGACTCCTGGGATAAGGCTCTTACGTTCGCCGTCTCGCCAAGAGATTTTTCGACGAGCTCCTTAAAAGCTGAGCTCTTAACCGTAGGGTCCCTTTTCAGCTCGAATAGCATCTCGCCTTTCTGGGTTCGCCTGGTTTTCACCACATTCTCGCCTAAGTGTTTCAACTCCGGATCATCTCTCACTTTCCGGAGGAGTGCTGCGTAGGACGTTTTGTCCTTCGCCTCAACAACCAGAGCGTCACCCTTGCTTCTCTCCCTACGAGGCCTAGGATTCTCCTTATTCTTCCTGTCTTCCATCTTCTTCTCTTCCTTCTTCCTCGCTTCTTCTTCCTTCCTCCTCGCTTCCTCTTCCTTCTTCCTCACTTCATCTTCCTTCTGTTTTTTCTTCCTCTCCTTCTGGTTCTCGACTTTACGCCACGCACCATTTTCTCCCATCTCCTTGATGCCTTCCTCGTCGTCC